AGGGGCAGGCACGGAGTGACACAGGGAATGCTGGTGGCATGTTAGAACTCAGGCTGCAGAGAGCCATTGGCCGGAACGGCAAGATTGAATTCCAGAGGGGATGGAAGACTCTTTAATAGGTTAGGAAGATGTCATTTATCTGCACAATTTGGGGTTGTTAAAGAGTTAACCTGAGTTTTCCAGAACAGCAGAAATGGCTTCAGTATCTAAATATTCTGATTTAGATAACCCGTCAACTGAGGCTACCAGATGTGGCTAACACTTTCCACCGGCTGGCCTCTCTGGCACAGTTTGGTGTAGGAAGTTTACTTGGTTTAGAAGTGAATTCACATGGCTGAAACAGCCAGAGCTTCTCAGCCAAACTGCAGAGCCCCTGTGCCTGGCCCTTGAGTCAATGTCCCTTGAAATCTGGACAACCTCCCACTTCCACTCCCCAAGGCTGGAGAGGCCACAGCCTGGGAGGGAGGGGCGGCAGCCAGACTGGAGGCGGCGAACCGACTGCTGACTGTGAGCACAGACGTCCGTGAGGGCTCAGTCACAGGCAGCAGTCGTGGCAGTAGAGTCTGTTCCAATCCACTTTACGAGGAATTCCCTATCATCCATGTTATCTCAAAGGGTCCAAAATGTCTGGCTGTGCTCTAGATCTGTGCTGTCTCTTACAGTGGCTACAACCACATGTGGCTCTTGAGCACTGGAAATAGGGCTAGTCTGCATTGAGATGCAGTAAGTGTAAGACACACACCAGATTTCAAAGATTAGTATGAAAAGAATGTAAAATACCACTAATAATTTTTATATTGATTATATGTTGAAACACTGATATTTTAGATATATTGGGTTAAATAAAAACTTAATTTCACCTGTTTCTTTTTATTCTTTTAGATGTGGCTACCAGAAAACTTTAAATTACATAGGTGGCTTACATTTGTGGTTGGCATAATATTCTTACTGGACAGTGGTATGTCTAGACAGATTCTAACTATAATCCTCCCATGTTTGCCCTGGTATTCATCCATGTGGCTGCAGAGACCACGCATCTTGGTCACTCCCACCCTCCAACCCCTCTACCTCCCATTTCCTGAAGAACCAATGTAGTAGCATAGTGAACTTAGTGCATCTAAACTGATCCGGGTTAGGGATCCTGGTTCTGGCACTTTCTAGCTGTGTGATTTGGGGGAAGTTACCTTATTACTTGGTGCCTCCACTGTCCATTTGTAATAATGGGATATTTACCTTCCTCATGGAGAACCCCAGCTCCTCCTCCCGATACTTGCAGTTGTCTGCAACCCCCTCCAGGCTGCCTTCTAGATACATCTTCCACCCAGGCCTCCCCTCACTTCAGCCTTCCCTGGAGCCTCCGGGACTTTTCAAAGCACACACATCCGTCATAGGCTTGCTATTCAATTAGGTAATGATTTAAAGCATTAACACATACAAAATACTTAGAACAGTGCCTTTCCCATCAAAAAGAATCAACAAATGTTAGAAAAGCATACTAAGACCAACAGCAAACAAACAATGCATCTTCCCTGGTGTCTGTAGCTGCTTTGCATATATCTTATCCATCCTGTTAGAGTTTGGCTTCTTTGAGGCAGGGCACATCTCTGTGCCTCTTCCAGCAGCTTGCTGAGATCTAGAACATAGTGGATACCCCGCAACCGTCGGAGGAAAGAATGTAAACTTCTATCAATCCCATGTCCCGTCTCATCCACCACCACACACAGACTAATGTGACTGGCAAATCTTCTTCCAGAATAAAAACTCTCCAGCAGCCTTCCCCATTTCCTGGGCTTGCAGACACAGAGCAAACAGATTTTGGCAGATTTCAATGTGGGCTTCATGGAAATGAGTCCTAGATTTTGTCTGCCCAAGGCTCCTCTGTGGAACCCTGCCATTGCTGTGGCTGCTGGAAAGGAACTGTGTTCTCTTGGGTATTTGACCAGATCCACATTCCAGACCTCCTCAAGGAAAGGAATTCAACTTAGGAGTCCCTTTCTTGTAAAAGGAAGCGACAGATGGATCACCAAAATCTCGACAAACATAAAGATCCTGCTAAAGACGGCACCTTCCCAGTCCTCCCTCCCTCCATCCTCTGTTGGACAAAAGAAAAGGAGATAAATTCAGTGTTATCTGTTTTAAGAAAAATCCATAAAGCTCTCAAAGACAAAGTAAAGATCAAGAAAATTAAATGTAGACAGTAAACTACACCTTGAAATATTTTTAGCCTGAATATTAAAGAGTAGTAAAGACCAAGAAAAATTTTCCAGGTGTGTAATAACTACTGAAAAAAACATTTCTCAAAGTTAAGAGCAATTAATCCCTCCTGTTGTGCTGTTGTTTTCATTCCCCACACTGAGAACTGGTGCTTGTCTTGTCTGTGAAATGGCCTCTAGCTCACTTGAAGATGCTGTATCAACCTTTAATCTAACACAGGACTGGGCCCACCAGGCACCCAATAAATGCTTGCTGACCCAATGTCAGTTAATCTATCAGTAAGTCACAAGCTGGTGGCAAAGATGGGGTGGTCAAGAAACACTTGGAGGAGGACTAAAGGGAGCCCAGTTATCACAGAAAAGTATTATTTTAGCAGCTTTGCCAGTTAAACCAAAGGGAGTCTGCTGAGTAAGGTTTCTACATCTGAGCTGTTTTTGGAGACGTTTCATGATTCACACCCAAATTATACAAGATTAAAGAATAAACTGGATAAAATCAAGCCAAACATTAAGTTCAGGGGAAATATTTTATTGTACAAATTAGAAAAATATTGGTATTGTGCTTCAGAGAAACCCACTTCTTTCCTCTGGCTGCAGGGGCAGAAACAACCTCAATGGCAGATGGAGAGGGAACATAAGTTATTTTAAGCAAACTTGCTCCATCTCCCCACGCTGGCCACAACTCCACACTCACACCCACCATGCTAATCTGGTAGTCCTGGCCAGAACTGAGCGGAACGTCCATTTATATGGATTCGATTATATGGCTGGGCTTGGGAGAAGGCAAGTAGGGTTTGAATGAGGATTCCCTGCCTGAGCTAACCAGGGAAGCTGCTAGCAGCCGGCCATTCTTAGCTATGCTTGAGAGTCCTGATCAGGATGGATCTATGCCCAGTGAAGGCACCAGATTTCTAGAGGAAGTTCACAGTTACTTACATCTTCCAGAAGAACCGAAGATAAGTAAAAATGAAAAGAATGGTTTTGGAGAATCCCTTCATTCATTTGCCTTCTGAGTGCCTACTAAGTGCTGAGTGGGCAGGTGATAGGGGAGAAGAAGGGAAAGAGCAGAAACAGGTGAACAGAACAGAGATGAACAAATAACTTGAGTATGCCAGAGCCAGGAGGGTCCATGTCGGCTGGGTCTTAACTTTCCTTCTTCAGTTACTGTAGCTTCTTATTGCTACTTTTGAAACAAACAAAAATCTTTGGTTTCATCACATGGTAGGTCTCACATGGAACTTCACATTACAGTTGTTTTCCTGTCTTCTAGACCACAGTTGGTTTAGAAGGATTGCTAGAGAACCAAAAAGGAAAACTGTGTGTGTGTGTTTGTGTGTGTGTGTGTGTGTGTGTTGACTCGGTCCCTTGCTGATGTTTATCATAACAATCTGAACTGACTAATCCAAAAGTGTTCTTTAGAACCCCCCTACATCCATCACCATCATGTCTCAAACTTTACAGCAGCTAAGCACAGATCAATAGAACTGATGTAACACGAACAGGATGCTGGAATAACCACCATTGCCCCCAAGGTGTCCTGGGGCCTGCTTTATTGCACCAAGTTCTTTGCTTATGTTATTCTATTTATTCTAACAACCAAGTGATAACATATGCACTATGGTTATGCTGGGATTACAAGAGAAAAACGATGCTCAGAGAGGCTGTGAGACTTGCCCAAAGTCACACGGCTGGGAGGTAGCAGAACTAGGAATCAGGGGCAACCTCTGTGACATTGAAGTTGAGTTCTTCCCACTTTGCTGATGTTTCTTGCTTAGAAGGAAAATGCAAAACTCAAGACAGAATCAACATACACTTACTGAAACATTCAGATGGTTTAATTCATATAATCCCCAATGGGTGGTATCCCCCCAAACCTCTTCTGAATATCTGACAGCCTCAGAAGTAGAGACATATGAATGACATGGATGACCCAATGGCCTGGCCATTCCTTATGCTCTTGTCATGGGTCAATTACAAAATGGTGCATGTGGTTTGGGATCTCACAAACAAGATGTGGAGCATTTGTTTGGACCACCCATGTATGGGAACTTGATGCTGGCTACTGCTGCTTTTAGTGAAGCCATTCAGCACAGTGTTTCAACAGTGAGAAGAACAGAAATGACTTGTGTTTGTGTGTTTGTCAGTATTTGTGCTATCAGGAGATGAACAGCCTTGGCTGGATTGGCCTGTTTTTCTAAGACCTCTCAACTGCCCTCCCAGTGGCCACAGCTATGGAAAGTGCATCAGATGGACTGTTTGCAAACATACAATTTGCTGCAAGACTAGGAGACAAAGAAGACCAGAAAGGCATAGTGAGCAGACTGCATGGAGAACAGCTGATCACTTCCATTGCTGCAGAGAGAGGGAAGCTACCTTGGTGGCATCTGGTTCCATTTCATCCCTTCTTTAAAAACCGATAATTAGGAAATTAATTTATTCACTGGCAGAAGATTCTGGTTTGATGGTTTTGTTGACTCTGTACCATTCCAGTTTTTAATAAATAAGCTCTAGGAACCCATACTCAGCCACACCAAACATGTAACTCCTACCAACCCCCAAAAACACCCCCAATGGGGCGGCCTGGAGATGGGTAATGTACTAAGCTTTTCAGACTTAAATATATTTGTGGACTTAAATATTCTCAAAAGGTCAGTGGCTTTTTCAATCAGACTTTTCAATAATTCTGAGTTACATTTGGAATTAGCTAACCAGTAAATTCAGTCCTTTTCTGATAAAAAACATTGTTGAAATCAAATATGACCATAAGTCCTACCTTAAAGCATGCATATGGGATCCACATGATGTGGTCATGACTCCATTAATACCAGGGCGATTAGAGCAAAGTTGGATGATGATGGAGCTCTCACATGAACAGTTTCTAAACAATGATGCAAGCGAGAAGTGAGCTGGTCCCCACTGCACTTCACCGACACACATTTGCATAGCAGGCACTGCTGCTATTTTCTAATTGCGATGAAAGAGAAAAAGACTTGTGGGGTGGATGCGTACGTGTGCATTTGTGTGTGCATACGTGTGTGTCTGTGGATAATTACAGAAAATAACCTATACTTCCTTAACTTTAAAAAACAGCATTTGCTATATTACTAAGATACTTTTGTATCTTCTTTAAAATTAGCTAAACACACACAAACCCAAAGGGATGCCCTTTTTTCAACACATTGCAACTAGTCTAAGAATGACAAACACACATGGCATGCTTGCTGCCAATGCCCCTCTAGGGGACACTGTCCACAGGAGATACTGTCAATGCTTCAGGACCCAACGAGCCTGGCTACCACTCAGAACCTTCCTCAACACAGTTCTCTGGGCAGCCTTAACCAGAGTTTAGGGTTGAGGATACCATGGATGGTCCTGGATTTGGCCTAACCCCACTTGTTTAAGAGACAGTAAAAACAATAGTGAGAGAAAGAAAGTGGCTTATACACCAGGTCATCAAACAATGCTGCTAGGAATGACTTAGGCAAGAACTGGTAAAAATCTCAACCTGTTTCAATTCAACAAAAATGGTGTTGTATTGCTTCTCCACACAAGGCACTGGACTTAAGCAATGTAATTTGGAGGCAATCCCATCGTAATGAATTTCCAGGGATCTTGAATCTAATTTGTTGTATCAACTGTGACTTGAAATAAGTGCATCTATGGTTGGAGTATGAGAGTCCATTTATTATATCAAGGTATCCATTATAATGCTCTTTAAGTTGTCTAGAGTTAAACAAAAATTATCCATATATTGGCAGATGTGAAATAAATACATGCATGCAGATATATATATGGATTTATATAAAACCATGACAATAAATATATTTACCTTACATTATTTCTATATTACATGTCAAAATACTAGTTATAAACTATTAAAACAACCTTTACAATACTATGAATGGAGCTTTGAAAGTGAAAACTGCTGCAAAGTGTCATCATTGCAGAATTAAAGTCTTTTAAAATCATAAAAGAAGAAAGGCAGAAATAACTATTTCTCTTACCAGTGGCCTGAGTTCTGGATGTGTCAGGATATATCCATTATTTGTGATTGCAAAGGCATAACCATGAATCCCTAACTGTAAGAAGAAGCAAGAAAGAAACCTTCATTAGCTTGCTCCCTGGTGAATTCACAAAGTATAAAGCAGCCCGACATTTAGTAATTTACAGCTTAAACTTGGCATTCATAACCCTTATCAGCACAATATTTCATTAAAATGAATGCAAGGCACTGATCCTTGACATTTGGTGGAAATGAAGACCTGTCACAGGATAAGCTCAGCAAATAGCACAATTTGAAATGTCACATTCCTACATTGGCATCAAGGGCTTTATTTTGATTTATTTGAAACAAAAACAATTACTTTTTCTTTTAATAGCAAGAAAGTGGCTAATGTTTCTGGAAAGGCCCTATGTCCTAGTGAACAGAATGTTGTCCATCGCTGCCTCTTCTCTCTACCTGTGATAAGAAAAGAGGGGTCTTCATGCTATTTCACTTCTCGGCTTCCTACCACTCCACACCCACGGGGCTATCTCAAACATGCATTCTAGGCTGTCATTTTTCATTATTCTTCAAGGATAAAAGTGTCCCCACCAGCCTATAGAGGAGCCCAAGAAAGTGGCTAATGTTTCTGGAAAGGCCCTATGTCCTAGTGAACAGAATGTTGTCCATCACTGCCTCTTCTCTCTACCTGTGATAAGAAAAGAGGGGTCTTCATGCTATTTCACTTCTCGGCTTCCTCCCACTCCACACCCACGGGGCTATCTCAAACATGCATTCTAGGCTGTCATTTTTCATTACTCTTCAAGGATAAAAGTGTCCCCACCAGCCTATAGAGGAGCCTGCCAACCCTTTTTATATACTTTCATCTTTAAATTGTGTGGCTGCCCAGCTTTTCCAAGCATGCTTCCATCAACACAAAGCCTGGGTAATTTTCTATGCAGAGCCTCACTTAATTTATGTTTTCTGACTAAATGGGACTATGGGAAATAGTTTGTGAGCAATGAAATGTTTTATTAGCTTTAAAAAGTATGTAATCAAATTTAACACTGCACTTATTTAAATAATAATCCCGGCTTTTTGACAATATTTCTATTACACAGTTGACTGCACCCATTGGCTACAATAAATTTACCTACAAATCATTCATGTATTAAAATGGCCTCTGGCATAAAACCCATACTGATCTCTCTCTCTTCGAAGAAAGAATGTAACCCACTTTTGCCAGAACAGTGAAAGGGGAGAAGAAAAAAAAAATGCTCCATTGTTTTCCAAGAAGTTATTTTACAGTTCTGAGCCTTCTCTGTTACTTTTAATTCTCTGCCACTCACATTCTTGAATATGATACTATTAAATGATCCAGACACCACAGTTTACAAACCAGGAATGACCCTGTCTGCTTGTTAGCTTAATGTCAAGGTGATGTGAAATTAACTTCAGAGAATTTAACACCGGCAATTAAAAGTTCCGTTGCATTACATAAAGCAAATATGCACGTTGTAGTCAAGGGAAGCAGACGTTTTCCCCTGGAGTTACCTTGCACAGCAAGCCTTAATAAGACCCTACTTGATGCTAATGATAAAAGTGTATTCCATTATGCTGTGAAAGATAAACTAGAGATTTCCTACCCTTTGAGATGTATATTGTCTCTTTCATCTTGTCTCTTGGAAAAATGTCAGACACAGTCAACGCTGCATTAATTACCATTATTATGTCCCAGTTTAATATGGACTGGAGGGGTCAAAAATCACTCTGAGAGTATGACTTCTTCCGTTAAAGGGAAAAGTAGTATTTGATTAGAAACTCAAACTCAAAATTAGACCGAACGAATGGTATTTTACAGTCAGCTAATGTATTCAGTGCCTTCTAACATATGTCACTTTGGCTCCTCTTGTTTTGCTTGTGGGAAGTGATACTCAAAAGAAGGTAGGGCTCTCTCGTGTCCTGCACTTGTATAGCACTTATCACAGCGATAATAATCAATTATTAGCGGGATTGAGTATAAGTAGCCAAGGCATCAGTCCAGGCCTATTTATTACTTAATGCCTGCACCCCCCATCAGAACATAAGTTCTCCGTGGGCAAAGGTCATGGCGTGTGGTTCCAAATATATGGAGGGGTGGCTGGGATGGAGGAAAGAGGAGTGGGAAAAGGAGGAAGGAAAGGTGGAAACAGGGAAATGATAAAAGAAATTGGGCGCAGATTCTACAAAGCTAAGTCCACTCTCTGCCTCCCGCCCTGGCATGGCTTCCCGCCCAAGTGTCCCCGCTCCTGGTCACCTGCCATCTCCGCATCCTCACCACCATTCATGCCTCCACCTCCTGGGTCTGCTTTGCCCTCCCTCCACCCTGCAACATGCCATCACGCCTCCTTTCTCTACAGCTGCTGGGGGCCTCCTACCTGCCAAACCCTATAGTATTTTCTCTCCTGGATCTTCCAACTGTTTCCTCCTCCGTGATGTTCAATTCCCTAGGTCTCCAAGCTCTGCACGCCTGGTCTTCCTTCTCCTCATGGGTCTTCATCCTCCACCCTTTCCTCACACGCTCATTTTCCCTGAGATTCTGTCCTCAGTGGCCCCTGTCTGCCTTAACTCTCCTCTCCTCCAGTAAGCTTCAGCAGCCACCTATGTGCTGCTGACCTCCACTTCTGTGCTCCTGCCTCAGTCTCTCCCCTCAGTGGCACTCTGAGTAGCCAGCGGGACATTGGCCACCTCTTCCCAGCCATCCCTCCGGCACCCCAGACGCACCCATCAGGACGGCGGCTCGTTCCCTCAGTGCCACTCTTCCTCCTCCGTGCTCTCAGGGGGGCAGCACCCCACACACCCAGACTCCCAAGTTAGAAACCAGAGCATCATCCTCAGACTCTATCTCTTTCGTCCTCAACCCCTCAATCCCAGTACTCACTACATCCCGCCAAGCTTTCTTCCGGATGGTGCTGAGTCAACCCTGCAACCCGACCCTCCAGCACATATCTCTTTCGTCCTCAACCCCTCAATCCCAGTACTCACTACATCCCGCCAAGCTTTCTTCCAGATGGTGCTGAGTCAACCCTGCAACCCGACCCTCCAGCACGACATGAATTCGATAGATTTGCGCAGTGGTCCTGACTGCTCTTGCTGCCTCAAAGCTTGGCCTCCACCAAGTCATCCTCCAGACTGATCAAAGTCAAAGGTAACCCTGACCATGTTGCTCCTCTGTGTAAAACCCTCGAAAGACCTGTCTCCCTCCACTCACCACCTCTCAGGGCTCATGGCAGCTACAACTGCCTGGAGTTTTCTCTCCCACCCAGACCTTTGCTCATGCAGTGCCAGCTGCCCAAGGCACCCCCTCCCCTCTCCCTCTAGCTGGTGCTCACCCATGCTATAAGCTCAGCCTCAGGATCATCTCTGATCAAAAGTCTCTCCTGACCCTCCCCTTTGCTGTCTCCTTTCCATACCACGTTTCCATAAATCCCTGAGTGTATTTCCATTACTACCTTCACCCTGATGCATAAAAATGCTACACCTTCTCTCTTGCCTCTCAACCCTAGCTAGTTCTCTTTCCTTCCTCTGTCTTGTTCTATAAAGAACTGAGGGCATTATCTCCTCCACCACAATAAGCTTTGTGGGGAAGGATCCATCTCACCTATCTTTGACTTCTACAGGCCCCTGCACAATGTCTGTGCTCAGTTAAGGTTTCTGTGTATTTAAGGCATTTGTCATTTTACTCAAATATTACCTAGGTCATCTTGAGAACTCAAACTAAAGTAAATATTAAAAATAAGCTGAAAAGGAGAAGCTGATTTGCAGGCGCACAGCGAGTCCTTCTCAAGCCTGTACCTGAGAAAGTCTTCCTGACATTCAGAAGCTCTCTGGTTAAAATCCATACCAGGGAAACATTCTGAGAAAACATTATAATGCTTTGTTGGTTGGTTGGTGGCATACAATATAACCTAATGTAAATGTAAGAAGAGAACTGAGCAAATCTCCAAACGCATTCTGTGGATGAATCTCTGAGAAACAAAATCTTGTAATATGAGAATGTCCAACATTTGTTTTTGGCCACAAATGAATATGCTGATGAAATCCGTAACTTTTTTCATCTGCAACAGAACCGGTCTTCCTGTCCGTTCTAATGTGCATCCCGTGGAGTAACAGACAACAGATCAGACACAAGGCCATCCAGCACTGGAGCCTGCCAAGGGGTCCTGGACCTGAAACATGTTCTCCTGGAGCCCAGGAACCTGCATGGCCAAGAGCCTGGAGAACGGAGGCACTTTTCTTCCAAATGGAGAGACTTCAGGCTAATGAAGTGAACCCAATTATAAAATGGCTCGTTATGCTAACAGAGGCCGTGGTGTCTGGAAATTATTGCTGGGGTGTCTGGAATTCTTAATAAAAATTACAGGAAGTCTGATCACTTGTGGGAAAATCTATGAAGTTAAGGGAGAAAGAAAGAATTCTATCTTCTGGGACAACCCCAAGAGCCAAGAGCTGACTCATCTTTACAAGGTGTTAATCAGGAGGGCAAGGTGTGACTTGAACTCTCTCCCTGGAGCTCTCCTCTCTTAGATGAGAGAGGCCTATTTGGCTATGGCTGTTCCTGGCTAACGAGCACACCTTTTCCATGGCTCCTTATGAACCAGAGGAGGGATGCCTTAGGTTAAATTACGCCATACCTGTGTCTCTGGTTCTCAGCCCAACCCTGGGGAAAGCATTTACAGGAGTGCCTGCTTTTCAAGCCCTGCTGGAGAATTTTCTGTAGCTGGTCTTTCTCAATTCTCTTGTTATGTTTTGTTTCATTCATCTTTTTCTAGCTGAGTGTTGTTCAGAAAGTAATGTCAAATATCCTCAACTAAAAATGGGGCCAAATGGTACCTACTTCATGGGAGTATAACAAGGATTAAATGAGAAAACTGCATGTGAAGCATTTTGACTACACCAACCACGCAGAAGTCCAGCAAATGTTTTACTGTACTTTAATTGTTACTATGGTTTTGTTTTAACATTTTAATTATTATTTTAACTATGGTTATTATTATCATCATTGCTCTTACTGTTCCCAGTGGCACTGAGATTAAAATCATGGCTCTCCCACGTTCAAGCTGTGAGACTTGGCAAGATACTTAAATTCTCTGTGCCTCAGTTTCTCTAGCTGTAAAATGGGGCTAACTGTCATGTCTACCTACTATTAAGTAAAATAATGCTACAAGGAGCTTAGCACACTGCCTGGCAGAGGAAGCTTTGAGAAATTGGCCCGCAGGGTGTTAGGATTCCACATTATATTCATTATTCCTTGATTTATTGGGCACATATTAAGTGGTGGCCCTGTGCTTGGGTTTCTACTTCTCATGTGAAATAAGAAGCTTAAAAAATATTGTTTGGAAACATACTCTGTAGGTGGGATGCCCTTCCTTAGACAGTGAGCCAGTAGTTCTGGACGCCAAGGTCTGGAGATTACAACAAAAGTAAAGTCCATGATCTTTAGGGGCCTCAGAGCCTTCCCTCATCCCTACCCTTGACCTTCGGTTTCTGGGTATCTACAGTTTCCAACACTTGATCGTGTGGGCTTGGATCCATCAGATGTCCTTTTGTGCTCCTGGAAACTTAGCTCCAATTGGAAAAGCCTCAGTGGATGAAGTCAGTTGCCACCATTTGACAGAAGAGGACTCGGGACCTCAGGGACTTGTCCCTACCCATCTCATCAATGACAGAGCTGGGAACCAACAGAGCTGAGCCCTAACCACCACCTTCATTCATCTGAGGCCCAGGAAGGCTGATAGGCCCTCACAGCGGTGGCGTATCAGGCCTCAGCACCTCATGGAAGGTGGTGTTAATGAAGGGGCCCCAGCAGTCAGCAATCCCAGATACCTGGCCTCCCCCCAGATGGAGGCGGAGGAAGCCCTCGTCCATCTGTGAGTGGGCCTGCAGCGCAGACATGCTGGCCAGTCTGCTCAGCGCTGGGGAAGAGGCAGTGGATGTGGTCTTACCCAGGTGCAGCCGGGGGAGCCCTTTGTCCAGAAAACCTACAGGATCTGGGGGAGAAGGGTGCACTCAGACCCGTCCCACACGCCCGCCCTCATGCACACTTTCAGAGGGCTTCTGAGCAGTCCCGTGTGCCAGTGTTAGGCCCTGAGGGGACCTCTGCCTTCTCACTTTTTGATTTGCTTCTTTAAAGAGCCCCCACTCGGGAACAGGGAAGTCCAAGGACTCTCTGAGCCATCTTTTTAAAAGGCGAACCAGTCATGTCAATACCCTGTGTGTATCAGAAAAACACAACAATCACATCAAAATCATGACTTCACACTGATTCTTTAAACTGAGGTGAGAGAAGGTGATTGAGAAAAATAGCAAGTCAATTTAAATAAAAGATACCCGTTAAGTAACTGGGCAGGTGGTACAAGGTAATAGCCTATGACTGCAGCAAGCAAAAACACTGCTCAAAAGGAAAGTGGAGTTTGAAGCCTGACTTTTGTAAAAACGAGGCTTCTGCTGTCTCCATTCCTCTGATTTCATTAATTAGGTCATGCATTACCTTGTACTTGGGGATGGTCTTCAGAAGTTCTTTCACTGGGACATCTGTGCCAACCACACCCAGAAGAATGCCCTTCGATCTCTGTTGAAAACCAACATTGGACAATAAGAACATAAGTTAACTTGGCAAAAGAAATAGAACCTCATGAGAAGCCCCACACCACGGATCACCATCCGGGGCCTTCACCACACTAAGACAGACTGAGGATTAAAGCAGATCTCCAAGAAGGAGCCTCTTCTATCCATGCCCCCCACCCAAAATATTACTACACATGAATGGAAGCTTCTCAGGCCAAACATTAACTACTACAACCCCCAACACACACTCATACCAAGACATTCTAATAACCTTCTTCTTCTCTCTCCTGGAAAGTACAAGGGGATGTGAGGCAGCACAGAAGTTTCAGCAGCTAAGGACTCTGATGAGGAACTGGTTTCTCTTATGAAAGCTTTTTACAGGGAAGACAGCATGTTCAGTGCTTTTTCAATTTACACTGCCATCTGGTGCCCAGGAAAGAGAGACTAGGCAGCCGGAGAAAGATGTAATGACCCTTACATTTTTAGCAGTGAGTTGGAGCCAAGGACCAAGGTGAAGGAGGCCTCCAGGGTCCCAGTTTCCAAGGCAGGTCGCCATTGTGATTTGCTGAAACTTTCTGATATCAGAAAGCCCATTGGGAAGAATATACAAACTGATGCTGTTGTTCTTTCCTTTAAGGCTCATTGAGAGTCAAATAGTGTCCCTCCAGGCTCATGTCCACCCGGAACCTCAGAATGTAATGTTGTGTGGATATGGGGTCCTTGCAGATGTAACTGTTAAGAATCTTGAGGTAAAATCGTCTTGGATTTAGGGTGGGCCCTAAATCTAATGACTGGGCTCCTTATAGGAAGATGGGGAGACACAGAGAGGCACGAGAGAGAGGAAGGCCACGTGAAAACGGAGGCAGAGATTGGAGTGATGCTGCCACAATGCCTAGTGTCCCCAGAAGCTGGGACATGCCCTGCCACCTTGATTTCAAACTTTCAGCCTCAACTGTGACAGCATCAATTTCTGGTTTTTAAGCCACCCAGTTTATAGCTCTTTGTTGGCCCTAGAAAACTAATACAAAGCTGTTCAAATCTAAAAGAGGTCAGCCCACCATAATCAAGGATTCTTCTGGGGCTTTTCCTTCTCTGGTCATTTAACACTTAAATTTCAGAAAGGTGCTGAAATCTCTAAAATAATGCCTGCTTGAATGTTTGATTTAGTGATTCTAACAGTGGGATGAAACAGTAAGGAAAAATTATAGACTCTCTATCCTTTAAAAAAAAAGTCACCAGAGCTTGAGTCAGAGGGGTTCTGAGAAAACCGCCCTCCTAGCTGCAGCCAGAAGCACAGCCACTATACTCACAGTTTCGTTCTGCTTACTAAACACGGGCATGGCAACCGTGGTCATCAGGACGAGGCCCTGATCATCAGCAAGCTGGGTGGAGAGAGAAAAGCCAGTTACCTGAGAAGGGTCTGGAAACTGCAGGGCTCAGGCCATCCCCCTTGACTTGCAGGTCCTTTCCTGACCAGTGGCTGTTGGGAACAGGACGGTGCCCGCTCAAGCCTCCAGCAAGGGAGAAGAGCAACCTGCCTCCACTCTGATTTGTGGGTGAGAGCCCCAGTCTCCACTGGGGAAACAAAGTCAGTTGTGTCGGTCACTCCAGCTGATCTCTTCTCTGCTGTTAGCCATGGTGGCTCAAATAATGTCTTGTTTGGATCTAAGTGATTCATCTTATTTTACTACCATGGATTGATTTTACTATTTTTACTTCCCAGACATGTATGTTCAATATGTGCAATAATAATGCTTCTCCCTAATCTGAAAGTTGAAGATCAGAACGAGAGAGCATCGGGGGTCTTGTGAGTTGCCCCTGCTGGGAAGGCAGAGTCTGGAAGCATTTATTCTTCCTAAGGTAGCCAAGCCAAGGCCCTCTTGACTCTCCGGATCTCTGACTGCCAGTCCCAGATAGAAAACAAACAAAACAAAAACAAGATAAAAAAAAAAATAACTTGATTGTCTGGCCCCAAAAATCATGACTAAGGAGCTAATCATTTCTCCTGGGAGATCGACCCTTGAAATACATATGTGATGTACTTCTGTAACCCTCCAAACTACATGCACACGCATGAGACACAATGTCACATCTGTTTCCCACACAGTGTTGGGAGACAGGCAGAACCCCCTCTCCGCCCCAATAACAAGTGGGGAAACAGTGTCCTGGAACACAGTAGGCTTTGGTTCTAAACACACCTGGTTCTAATTCTGTTTGAATCTTTCTTAACTGTACTAGCTAAGCCTCCATGTCTTCATAGGAAATAATGCCAACTATTCCCCAGCTTTGCTGCCATGAAGAAAAAGTGTAAAACTGCCCAGCATGGTACCTGGCATTGGGAGGTGCTAAAAGGATGCTAATTTCCTTTCTCTGCTTTTAAGGTCACACATCCAGTAAGTAGCAGAGTCCAAAGTGAGATCAAAGCTTACGGCACTGCTGACAGGCACCAAAATTGGCCTGGCAAGTCTGGTGGGAGAGGGGTACTTTCTGGCTTCACAGCCCATTCAAGCCTCAAATGAAGCAATCTGTGAGCTAGAATCCACTGTTTTCAGTCTAGAGTGTTTACTGATGTCTGGGCACTTCTCCATAGATTTTGTTGCTCCTGATTATTAATCTTCTCAGGAAGAAGCATTCTAAAGAGAAGATCCTAAAATCTAAGTGGTTGAAGCCCCCATAGACTGGTTAGTCTCTTGAGTGAAAATCATTAGACTAAGTCCATCTTTTCACCTCGTGCTTACAATAGATTATTGGAGCTATAGTGTATCACTACCACAAAGTGGTACACAGGACAGCAGTCCCTGAGTGCTTGTTAGAAACGCTTAATCCCAGGCCCCACTCAGAACCCTCTGACTGTGAATCATTATTTTAATAACTGGCAAGCATATTAAAATTCAAGAAGCATTGTTATAGAGCAGTTCTTTCCATTGCATCCCCATCAATAATCATGATAGCTAAAGAGAATTTGGCAGGTGTTGAAAAAAACTCTCAACAGAAGTGGAGGGGCCATGTTTTTATTCAGTTCACATCTATATCAAGACTGGCCTCTATTCCTCATGATAAGTAAGGTGATGCAAGCATCTCATGGTCCCTCAAGGACCAGAAACTCATGGTGTCATGGTTGACTCTGTGTCAACTTGGCCAGGCCACGGTTTCCAGGTGTTTGATCAACCCCCAGTCTAGACATTGCTGGAAAGGCATTTTTTAGATATGACTAAAGATTTAAGTCAGTAGACGTTGAGGAAAGCAGATTACCCTCCATAATGTGTGTGGGGGTCTCATCCAATCAGTTGACAGCCTTAAGAGAAAAGACAGGTTCCCCAAGGAAGAAGGAATTCTGCCTCGACTGCCTTCATACTCAAGACTGCAACATCTATTCTTGCCAGATGTCCAGCCAGCCTTGCAGATTTCAGACTTGTAAGACCTCACAATCTTGTGAGCCAATCCTTAAAACCTCTCTCATTCTCTCTCTCTCTCTCTCTCTCTCTCTCTCTCTC